CTGTTCTCTCTCTGTCCACCTACCCGTCTGTCATCCGCCCCCACAGCCACCAGCCACCCACCTGTCCCCTCATCCATCTGCCTGTTTGTTCGCCCACGTAGTAGCTATACGCTGGGTTGATGTAGGGGCCCCAGACGGTGTCCTTAGCCCTTAGCCCAGCCCAGGGGAGTCAGGGAAGCAGCGCGAGGCACTTCCTGCTGTGTGTGAACACTGCCTCTCTCTGGGCAGCGCGCCCTCCCGGGGCTTCTGGTCACCTGGGAGCTCTCTGTGGGGCCCCTGGGTTGTGTCTGTCCACAGCCTGGACTCCTGTGGGTGCGAGGAGAGGGAGGGCTGACTGGGCTCAACCCAGGTGGAGGATGGCCGGGCCCCTCAGGGGGCCATGGGAGACCCAGCGGGTGAGGTGGAGCCCAGAATCTGCATGGCCCAGACCTGGCAGGGCAGACAGCAAGTGACTCCTCAGACACACAGTGGAACACACCGACCCCAGGCACCGGCAGAGGACAATGTTTTAATCACTCTCCCTTCCCCATCACCACTGGGGCATCAGCTGGCATGGGGAGGGCGGGGGGGCGTAGCAAAAGGAGCCACACCAAGGCCCTGGTAGCCAGATGCCCAGCTGGGGGGATGGGCCCAGATTGGAGGTTATCTGGATCGGGACCCTGAGCACTAGGCAGCTGCTTGTGGGTCTGTGAGCATCACAGAGGACTTGTAAGTGTGACAGAAGGACTTGGGGCCACGTCAGGCTCGTGCTCACTCAGGAAGAAGGGGGCAGGGGACGGCTGTCCAAGCAGACGTGGGAAGTGAAGAGGACCGGGAGGTTTCAGTCCCTTGCCTGGCTCCTGCAGGGCATACGTGTGCACGAGTGCACACAGGCGTGACATGGCGTTTATTTTTCTCCTTTTTAATGTTCTTTTCTTTAATTTCCATGTTTCCTACCAAGAGGATGTATTCCTTCCTAATCAGAAAAACATTAGTAGATGTTATTTCAGCGAAGGAAGTCCACCTTCCGGAAGTGTCCCCGGCCCACGGGAGACATCGCCTGCCCCAAGAATGAGCATCACGGTGTCACCCATCACCGGCCACAGCTGTCAGAAAGTGCCAGCCGTTCCCACATGTGCAGGGGAGCTCCGTGCCCAACCAAGTTGGTTCGGGGGAGGAGGCAGGAAGTGAGGATTGGGTATGTCTTTGTCGCTCTTGTAAACACGCTTGGGACCACATCCTCTTCCCCTTCCTCTCCCTGCTAGTCACAGTTTGCAGCAGAGCGCCTGCTCCGGTGGCTGGCGGGCCCAGGGGACTCTCCGACTGACCCACACTCACTGGGAGCCCTGAGCAGGGAGGACCTCGGGGGAAGGGTGGGGCGAGAAACGCAAAGCCTGAAGAAACCCAAAGTATAAACACTTAAAAATCAAACTAAAAGATAAATGCCAGGAAGCAGGCAGCTAGGTTTTTTGCAAAAGGAAAGAGGATGAAGACGGGGAGGGAAAGGAGGAGGAGAGGGAAAGGGTGTGAGAAGATCGAAGCTGTGTTACAACCCTGTGCTGACACCCTGCAGGAAGGTGACTGCCACACACTGCAAACAGGTGCTCACAGAAATAAAAATTCAGCAATAATCCAGATACTTCAGTGCTTTGTAATTAAAAAAAAAAAAAAGAAAATGCAAAATAAATGCGGGTATACTGCATTCTGTGCTAGTTTCCTTGTGTTTTTTTTTCCTTTGGAATATTCTGCACTTTGAAATGACCTCACGTAAGATCTCTTTCTGTGTTTTAGGGGTGGAGATTGAGCCTGGGGACCACACATGCTAAGCACAAGCCCTACCTAACCCTGACCCCAAGACCTTAAAACAATCTGAGAAAGCAGGACTTACACAGGGCCTGTCATAGCCAGCTGGAGCCTCCCTCCTCGAGAGGCAAGCGGGTGGGAGGTAGCCCGGGAGGTCTGAGCCCTGGCAGGCCTCGTGTGAAGGGGGGACATGGGCTGAGGGGCAGCCTTCGGGGGCACCCCGCCATGGGAGAGCCTCTCCGAGGTCACCCAGAGCACTGAAGGGACCCAGAGACCGGCTCACACACATGTGAGCTAGGTGGTGACTGGTGAGAAGTCCAGAAGATGGTGACCACAGCACTGCAGGTCAAGCAGCAGAGTGAGGGACCAAGAACAGAGGGACAGGGGCTGCCCCTGGGTGCCAAACAGCTGTGCAGCGTGAACAGACCCACAGCGGCACTAACATTCCTGTCTGTTTGCATGCAGTGTGTCACACTTCCTGGAGCAGTTTCTGGGAGGCCCAGCCAGATTTTACTTTATGTGGAAAAAAAAAATGAGTTAGTTTTGTGGACCTCAAACTTACAGTGAACCAACAGAATGGTATGCCATAGAAGGATCAAAGTGAATAGAAGCCACAAGAGGAAGAGGATGAGAGGGGGGAGGAAAGGGGAGAGGAAGGGAGGGGAGGAGGGGGGAAGAGGGGGAGGATGGGGCACAAAGAAACAGAGAAAAGGGAAGTGCTCCTGTTCCTTGATGACCCCAAGGTTCTGGGTGGCACCATGGGGTGACCTTTCAGCTCTCTTCAACATCCCTGGGGCTGGTGAGATAGCTCAGTGGTCTAAAGCTCCTGCTTAGGCAAGCTCAGGGACTCTGGCTGGATCCCTAGCACTGTATGCTACACCAGCCCTGCCCCAGGCGGGCTAAGCTGATACCAAACGAAACCAAAAAAAGCCTTCCCCAATCACAAAATGGGCAGCAAGGGAGGCCACGTACGTGCTCATGGAGAGTGGAGGACAGGGAGACCAGAACTGCTTCCAACACCGAGCCTCAGGCCCCTGGGAAGATTGCACCACGTGGGTGGATTGTCACAAGCACAGAACTGCCACCAAGGAAAGGCTTCAGGGATCTGGACTTGGGCCAGAAGACCAGACGCACGCTCCTCAATGCCGTGATGACAGTAACACTGGTGTGTGCAGGATGGCTGGGGGAGACCTGTAGTGTCCACCTTGGGGACGTTTGGTCCAGATATTGCTGACCACATGCACTCTGGGCCGCAGGTTCGCTCTCAGATATTCACAGCCAGGAGAAGAGCCTCGCAACAGCCACACACACACACACACACACACACACACGTCACAGGGACATGAGTGCTCACAGCAGCAATGTGGGACACAGTCCACACCCACACACGTGGACAGCACACCCGTCCACTGTGAGGCAGTACACGACAGTCACAGGAAGCAGATGGCTCTTAACACAACGCTTAGGCAGAGGCACGCCCAGGGACTGTAGTCAACACAAGGCTCCTTTAGAAATAGGCTTTTTACCAACACACAGAAATGCTCTAAGACTTGATTGTTATTTTCTGGTGTGGAGACTGAACCCAGGACCTTCACGGGCTAAGCAGGAGCTCTACCACTGGGTTACACCTCAGCCCGTCTCTCTGGCAGGAGAAAAGCAATGTCCCGATGATGGGCCCTGCCAGTGGGGGGCAGGGACACAGGAAGGGAGTCAGGCGACGTGCTCCACTGAGGGCAGTGGGCCGACACATGTCACCACATTGCTGAAGAGTTTCTCTAGTTCTCTTCCATCCTTGTCTAGCTGAGTTAACAACCAGGCCATGAACCGTCGGTAATGAAAGGGTGACACAGAGCATCTGCTTCTGTCCACCTGGGGACTGCTGGGAAAGGAAGGAAGGAGGGGGGCAGGAAACAGAAGTGACAGCCTTGGGACCCAGCGAGCAGGCTCCTTATCGCCCAAATCACTGAGGCCCCCGCCAATGGCCACTCAAGTGGACAGGACGCACAGGCTGGCGCTGCACTGGGGCCCTGCCAGCGCAGCCACATCTCGGCCTGGGCTGGGTTTGCCCTAAGGAAGAACCACCTCCCTTACTGCAGAAATGCACTGCTGTTCAGCTCATGTCCCCGCACCCACCTCTGTTATCATAAAAGGCTTGCAGCCATGGTGCTCTAGACGCCCCCCACCCGGCCTGTGGTGACCCCAGAAAGGTTCTGGGGGGCTCTTCGCATGAAGGACTCTGAACTCAACCCAGGAGGCTGGATCTGCCGGCCCACACTGTGACAGCAGCGGTCCTTGTCATGAGTCTCTGGGTTTCTTTTGGGGATCGTGAGACAACACTGACACTGCTGACACTGCCACCTGCACTGTGTGTGTGTGTGTGTGCGAGTCTCAGGTCACTAAGGGCAGGCTCCTCACCTACCTTGCTCCCTGCTGTGTCCCCAGCCTCATCTGTTGGACGAGGAGGGGCTCAGACTTGGTGCCGTGCTGGTGTTTGCTGCATAGCCAACGCTCCAAAACAGACTACTGGCCTGGGTCACAACCTCCAAAGAAAATCTTTAGTGTCCACAAATTCTTGAAATGCAACCAAATTGTGCCTGGGAGTTCGTATGGTGCTGAGCGTTGAGATTTCTACAGGTTTTTTGTACCAGGAATCAAACTTAGGACCTTGCAATGCCATTGAGCTATATCCCTGGCATTTTCTTTTGGAGGGGGTACCGTGGATCGAGCCCAGGACCTTGCAATGCCAGGCAGGTGCTTATGCCACTGAGCTATCTTCCTGGTGGAGTTTCGAGATAGCAGTAACAAACCAGCAAATCTGACTTTCTGATAAGTGTTTGCAGTTACCATAGTAACAGCCCATCGGGGAGGCATTCTCTCAACCTTTTAGGTTCCTCACTATGAAGTGTGGGAAGACGGAGACAGAGGAAAGGTTGTGGCCACTTGATGGGCATCCCAGAGTGAAGCTCTGGGTACCCACGGAGAGCCCATTAGACCCAAGCGCATTTCAGAACGTCCTCAGTTATGGTCATGCACCACAGATGACATTTTAATGGATGACAGAATGGTGGGACACGCAGCTGCCCCACTCTGAGCAGGCAGACTCTGTGACGTGTGAACGACACGGAACAGCCTAATGGCGCATCTCTCTGAGTACATCTCCACTCCTACGCGACACAGGACTGTAAGGAGCACAGTGTTGCTTTGGTTCTGTACTGTACCTTCCCGAAGGTTGCTGGGTTGACTTGGTTCGGAGCATTCTGCCCACAGGTCTCCACATAAATCTCATACATGAGACAGCGAGGCAAGCTGTACCCTTCACAGACACAGAAATTGTCCATCAACCTGAGGAGAGGGGACAGGAGAGGAGATTAGCACATTTTTCTGGAGTAGGACATTTTGATAGACCAGTGACCAGACATGTGTGGGATCCAACCAAGTAAAATACACCTACGCTACTGAGTAAACATCCCTCCAAAGCTCATCATCAGTGTCAACAACGAGCCTTTGGGTCCTAGGGACAGTGGGAAGAATACTGATTATGGACTTTTAGCTATCAATTTATGGACATTTCGGATGGAAAAGTATTTAGAAAAAAAAATCACATGTATTTTCTCTGTCGCCATTCCCTAAGCGATAGACAGCAGCGACTAGTCACAGAGCATCTACGTCACGTAGGGCAGTGTGTCATCCGGACACAGCGAAGAGTCTATGGGCGGCCTCAGCTCTTGTGCCACATCATTTCACATAAGGAACAGGCCCGTCTGTGGCTGTTGGTACCCCTGGGGGTCCCAGAGCAGGCGCCTATGGACTCCAGGGGATGATGACAGGCGAAGCCAGTCCGCACATTTTTAAACACAGAGGAATCTTTAAAGCAGGAAACGTGCCCACACTGAGGACACACGGCCCACTTCCTGGTGGAGGCCCCAGTGGACTTCCCTGAAGAACGAAAGGCCGCTGTCATCTGTTGTACTTGTACCGTTCCGGATGCAGAAGCCGTGACAGCTGGAGTGCTGGGCTTGTAGGTGCTCAGGACAATCTTCCTGCGTCCTCCTCCGCAGGCCCGTCTCTATGGATTTTCTTAAGAAGGCACCGGGGTCAGCTTTGGGGTTCACTCTTATCTAGTGTGACCTTAACTAGTTCCATCTGTGAAGACCTACTTTTTTTTTTTTTTTAATCTGTAAGTCTGTTTTTTCAAAGTCAGGCCATGCTTTCAGGCTCCACGGGGACATGAATTTTGGGGATGATGTCATTCAGCCCGGTACAGCTCCCAAGGAGGTGGCTTTTCTGAGAGGGTCCAGCGTCACTGTGGGACCCTGATCTTTCAGGTTGCTGCACAGTGGCTCAGATACAGTAGCCTTCCTTTGGCCTGGAGGCTAAATGTAGAGTGATACCTGTTGGTGGGGAGGGGAGTGGCAAACCCCTTCATGTAGCTGACATTAACATTTTTCTTTCTCTTTTTTCTTAAGGGACAATGTTTCCTTGTGTTACCTAGGCTGGCCTCAAACTTCTGGGCTCAAGCAACGTTTCTGCTTCAGCTGCCTGAGTAGTTGGAACTACAGGGCCATGCCACGGTGCCTGGTCTTAAGATACCACTTGCTGATACATGGAAAACCCCAATCGCAGAGAACCCTGGCTGACTGTGAGGAACTGTGACCAAAGGGGACACATAAAATTTGAACTCACTTCCATTTATTCGGAGCTACTGCAGATCAGACAGACAGGCTCCCGGAAACATAGCATAGGCCACCAACTCCCCAAGTTCCCATCTCCATTTCTGATGGCTGTTCCCCCTTGTCACAGACACTCCAGTCCTGTACAATTGTCCTGTTTCCAAATGACATTACTGAGCCTCCCAGTTTGCCTGGATGACAAACAGCACCACAACTGGAGCATTCTGAACCTGAAAATGTCTACCTCCCCCACATCCAAAGCTCTTTGAGTGCTGAACGACGCCACGAGGGAAAAATTCCATGCCACAAAACCTTGTTTCATGCTTGAATCTACAAAAATGCTGTATACGAATTACCTTCAGGACAGATGTATGAGGGTGCAGAAGGGCAGACGAATCCACCTGTAGATGTATGAGGGTGCAGAAGGGCAGACGAATCCACCTGTAGACTTGAGACGCATCTCAAGACATCTCATTAAGGGTGTGCAAAAACAATTCTGTCTCTGACAGACAGCTGGAGGGCACAACAATGAAGCGCTGCTCACGCGCAGCCTGGCTCTCCCCAGCGTCCCCTGTGTCCCCTCCATCCTCTCCACAGCCTGGTCTCTCTTGGGCTCTTGCACTTTCCTGGGACACCAAGGTCCCTAGGAATCACAAGCCTCAGGACCAGGTTTCCACACCAGTGTTCCGCCCACCTGTGGGGATCCTCTGCCTGAGTAGCCTCCCCACAAGAACTGGAGCCCCTGCCACCTCCACTGCCTGCAGGGACCCTAAGGGCTGAGCTGGGAGGCCAGAAGGGCTGGGAGTGGGGCCACAGCCCCTTTGGTGTTTGTTGGGCTGGCCGCCAAGGGTCCTCAGGCTCCTGGTGGCCTCAGTGTCCCTAGCAGGAGGGAGGGGACTGCCTTGTCCCTTCACAAATACCTAAGGAGGGTTTCCAGCTGTGTTCCAGTCTCTCACTATCCTTTCAGGTCTCTGCACCCACAGAAGCCCTAACTTACTAATAGTGGCTGGCAGCGTCGCCAAGGGGCTCTCTAGAGGAAGGTGGCCGCCAGGTCCTTTCCTGTAAGAAAGACTCCAGAGAGTGGTGAGGCATCTTGCTCAGTGCCAGTGACTCACCATCCCCTTGCTGGAGTCGTGGGGTTTTTCCCGTTTCCTCTCAAGCTACAACCTACCAAAAACTTCCCTTGGGAGGAGAATAGGAATCTTGTACTTTGTCTGTCTATTTCGCACTCCGAGACTTTTTCAGAAAGTCCTGCAGGGAGACACCCTGTGAGCAGAGCGGCGGCCTGCTGCGGCCTCCGCTGCAGCCTTCCTCCTGCTCGGGAGGCTTTGTATCCTGATTGCTTTTGCTGCCTCTGTTTAAATGGCAGCAATTTAGATTTCTAAATTTCTGTGTAAAAATATTTAATTGTTTATTCCTATTTTTTTTTCTTTTTTTTTCCCTTCACATTCTGTAGGGATTTAAAGTTTAACATATCAATACTTGATGGATGGGGCTGGTGAGATGGCTCAGTGGTCTAAAGCACCTACTTAGAACAAGCTTAGCAAAGCACAGGGACCGCGGTTCAATCCCCCAGCACCACATGCCAGCCAGCCCCGCCCCCTGGTGGGCTGAGCTGGCCACACACACACACACACACACAAATAAATAAAATTAAAAAAAAAATACTTGATGGAAAATACCTGTTCCATGCTATATCTAAGATGTTTGATATGCAGAGAGATAGTGAGGTTAAGCTCAACTGCCTATGTTATAGGGTAATCATATCATTACGTTTCTCTTCTGGAGGGTTAACAACTTAAGTCTGCAGACCAAAAAGAAGAGAAAAAGAAGGGCTGCAAGGACAGCCAATATTTTGGCCCTAGCTTTTCAAGGTCAGTGAGGACTCAGGACATAGGAGAACCTGTACTGTAACATCGTGTAACTCAGTTGTTACAAATTTTCTGATCAAGGAGATTACGGAGCCACAGAGGAAAGTGATCGATGATGTAGAGTGTGCCTAAGCAGAGTCACATGGAAAGAAAACATTCTCTCAGTCTTTCACAGAGAGCAAATTGGCCAAGCAAAGCCGTGACTCACCAACAAGCCTGACACTGACAAAGGATCAACAAACTGCGAGACAGGGTTTCAGGAGAAATCCTGAGGGGATTTGACTGACCTTGTCAAACACAAAAGTTACATTTCTTGTTATATAGGTCTTGCTTTATCTTGGTCTTAACCATCCAGCAGAAAAGTATAAAAATGAGGTATAAAAAGTAAAGCCATATTAATATGCTGAGGTGTAAAAGGCTCAAGTCAACAACTTCTGACATTAGTCCTATGGATAACCCACTACTATTATGGACTACTGGACTATATTGGATTATTTTGCTGAATTCATGCACCTACAATATTTAAATAGCAATGGAACACCCATCTCTGACAAAACTAAACAAGAAAAGGGGATACAAATGAAGGACCATTTTGTATCTGTATAAACAAAATAGGATAGATACACAGCTACTTTCTCTTAATTCAATGAGAAGAAAGACTGGTACTAATAATGTTTGGACAGGATGTCATGTCTGCATCTTGTCCTATGAATATGTCACTACAAAGACAACAATATGCAATGTACTAATTATTGAAACCGTCCTACTAATCGGTTTTGAAACTGTCTCATTGCTATTTGTTTCTCAATAAAATAAAATTAAAAAAAAAAAAAAGGCCAGAAGTGAACGTCACAAAGTGGAGCACCACGCTGTTAAAGCTAAAAGTGCTGTGTTTTAAGGGAGAAAATGCCTCAATTTGGGTCTCACGCTAAGCTAGAGCATTTTGAGTTGGTAACACCCAAGATCTCTGAGCTCTCCTCAGCCACAAGCGAGGAGCTCCCTACCGCTGGCAGGGAGACCCAGGATGGAAAACCTGGTGGCCACTGGCTCCCAACGCAGAGGCTCTACGGAGTGTGTGCGTGCGTGTGTGCACGCGTGTGCGGTCTACACCTGCACTCCATCAGGGCTCTGGCTGCCAGCTTAGAGGATGCTGTTGGAGGCCAAGGCATGAGGATCGCACCCAATGAAAGGGATGGAGGGGATGTGGCTGAGTGCCAAGGCCCAGCCCTTTGGGAATCCTCCTCTGGGGCCCACGCCCTCCCCTCAGCTTTGGGTCCCAGGTCCTGGGCAGCGGCTGAGGGGCGATGTTCCTTCCCCTCCCCCACCCGAGGGCCGCTGCTCACCACCGCAGGATGCGGCCCTGTAGGCCCCGGGTGTCCGCAGGCCCCTCGGCCATGGCCCAGCGCAGGGAAGCGGTAGGATCTGACTGCACCGGTCCTGCCACCCGCGGTGTTTACTTTAGAGTGGGGCGCGTGCGGCCGGGCGCGGGACAGGACCCGAGGACTGGACACCTGAGGACGCTAAGGCTAGGGTCGCACGCGACGCCCCGCCCACCTTTGCACCAAACCAGGAAGCGACCAATAAAATCCAAGGAGAATCTTTCAGGTTGAGTCAGGCCCGGAGTGTTTGGTGGGTAGTGGGGATGCACGCCCTCCAGAGGCTGAGGCCGGAGCATCCTCGCAAGTTCGAGGGCAGCCTGGGTTAGGTAGTGAGTTCACGGCCCCTCTGGACTACACAGAGAGATCCTGTCTCGAAAAATCAAAAAACAAAAACTTGGATCACATAGTCTGATTTTGGACACTTTGAAAATGCAGATGCCGAGCATAACCTGGGCCTCTTTTCTAGCAGGTCTTGCTGCAGGGGCTGAGAAGTGGAGGCTCTGGCACAGGCTAATGCTGGATGCTCTCAATCCCCCGACTGCCTGTCCCCCTGCTGTCGCGGACCCCCAGGCCCAGGGCCAGTGCTGGCTTGGGGGCGGGGCACACCAAGGAGTCCAGTGGTGGCTGCCTTGACAATGGCTGCTCCACTGTGACATCCAAACCTGTGCCCCACTGGTGTGACACTGAGTTGGTACTCTCTCAGACCCTCACTTCTTTCCCAGGAACTGTGGGAGGGTGACATTAAGGGACACGTGTTTGGGTGGCATGTTAGGAGCCCAGTCCCTCCGGGAGAGGATCTCAGTCTAGACGAAAAGCACAGTGGATGACTCCGCACAAGACCCAGGCAGCACAGGGTGAAACTGGACAAGTGGACGCACATCATCTGCAGGAGGTATGCAGATGCCCAGGAAGCCCAGGAAACGAGCCTTAGAATGTTGGAGAAATGCAAATCAAAACCATACTCACTGGAATGGTTTTTAAAAAAATAGGAACTGGGGCTGGGGAGATGGCTCAGTGGAATAAGCTCTTCCCTGGCAAGCACAAGGGCCTGAGTTTAAAAAAAAAAAAAGGAACTAAAGATGTTGGTGATGATGTGGAGAAACCAGAGCTCCTGTTCACCGCTGGCAGAAACAAAATGTACAGCTGCTATGGGAAACAGCTTGGCCATTCTCTAAGTATTAAACATGGAGCTCATAAACGATCTGGAAAATCCTGCTGCTGGGCAGGTACACCGAAGAACGTGCCCAAGGGCTGGAATAATATGCAACGATGCTCCCAGCTTTTTATTCAGCATTTTCCGCTACCATAAACAGAGCGGCTTGATGACCATGTCCAGTGATAGATGGTTCCGCCAGCAAAGCGGGGTACAGGTACACCACGGGGTAGTATTCAGCCTTAAAAAGTAATGGAACCGTGACACATCCCAACATGGGTGAACTCTAGAAATGCCACAAACTGAAACAAGTGAGACCCCAAGTACAATACTGCTTATCTGAAACTTAGGAGAGTTAAACCTTTGGAGACCGAAAACAGCTAGTAATTACAAGGACCTGGTGGGAGAGGAAGGTGGGAGCTCACACTCACGAGTGCAGTCTCAGCTTTGGACAGGGAGCTGCTCCGAAGGCCAGCACTGTGAGGGACAAACGTGTGTACTTACAGGTGAGCCAGCTGCTGTCCTTTTCCATGGCTGCTAATGCACCTGGAAAGTTGTTCTTTTTATTTTGGCTAAGAAACTTAGAAAAATCAGCCAAGGTCACCTGAGCCACTCTAACTTTCTTTTAGATGATCTAAAGTAATCTTTGCACAATCTAATACCAAACTGAGCATGCCCAGATGTGTTCCTGACAGCCGTCTTTCCTTGTTTCCATGGTTCTAGGACCTTGAACTGAGCATGCTCAGAAATGTACATCTTATTAGAGCATGCTCAGAAGGGTACATCTTAAATGGAGCATGCTCAGAAGTGTCCCTACCCTTTCATATGCTTTCCCATATGAATATGTAATGACTCCCTGAATAAATCCCTATGCTTTTTCAAGGAGAAGCCCTGCATTGTAAATAACCCACTGTGCTCCGTCGATGCTGCAGGGAACAAATCTTTCTCCATGCTTGAGTTTCCTGTTGCACTCTTTGCCCTTGCACTCCCCGAAGTGCAGAGCTATTTCCTTAGGTTACAGAATAGTGAAAATGTGTAGCAATAGTAGTGGCAGCTGCACACTCATGCGAATGTACTTGATGTCACTGAATGACATCTAATGTGCTTAGAGTGATCCTTTTGTCATGTATATTTTACCATTTTAAAATAGCTCTCCCTCAAACTTACACGTGTTTGGGAACCGCTTCCAGAAGTAGGGCAGAGATTCATTCAATAAGTGAAAAAAAGTGGCAGCACTGGGCAGTTGTTGGGAGACAGCAGGGATCTCCAAGGCAGCGAGTGCGAGGCCCCCAGGGCAGCGCCAGCTGAGCTTTCCTGGTTTTCTCTAGGAGAGCTGACGGGTTCCTTCCCACTTGGACGGGAGCTCTGCGAGGCTCCTCCCCTGCGTGCTGGGTCGGGATGGCTCAGTCCTGAGCTTCCCGCTGCGGGCCAAGGTCCTGCTCCGGGGCCAGGGACGTGGGCGGCAGGGCTCCTCTCCTCCTCATGCTGTTCCTGCCAGCTCCCTTCCAGCTGGTAACATGCCAACAGGCCCATTCATGTCCCCAGAGACTGGGAACCACCAAGGCAAAAGCCTGTGTAGCGTCCCTCTTCTTACATCACTGCTGTCATAAACAACATCTGCCTACGTACTGAGCACCAACCAGTGCAGGCCCTGGGACACACCTTGGAAATACGGCAGTGCTGCCACAACCCTTGGGTTGACCAGTAGTCTCTTTGCTACTTATTGCATTGAACATGAGATGCTACAAAATGCAAATCTTACCTCATCTTGGCCCAGAGCTGTGGAGGCCTGTGAGGTATAGGGCTTTAGAAATGAGGCCAAAGTTCAGCTTACCCCCTCCTTGCTGAGGGCCTGCTAATTTCATCTACTACAGGTGCCAGCAGGTGTCCCTAATTTGACTAGTCATCATATACATTGAGGCAGTTAGCAGCAGCTGTACGTTAGTACAGTGACATCCTTAGAAGATGTGGCCACAGCGTGTGGCTTCCCAATGTGGCAAATATGCAGGGGACCTGTGCCCCTGCGAGGGCCTCTTTAGCAGCAGGGTCATCGTGGCTTTCAATGGAATGTGGAGCTGCACCCGACATAGCAGAAATTATTTGGTGGCACTCACTCTGAGAAGCCTGGCCACGCACATGACTCTCGTTCCTGAACAATCTGGTCTCCGTCCATTTCCAGGTTCAGCATCTTCACTCTAATATCTAACAGCACTGCAAGAGAAGTAAGCCTCAACACTTCTCCGATGTGATTCCAGCTTCTTGCGCTGCCCCTTACACACGGAAAGCCCCTTTTTCCTCTGCTGGAGGGAACATCTCTTCCACCTGAACAGAACTTCCTTCTCCACCTTCAGTCTAATTGGTGTCTGGGTTATCCAATTAGCTACAATTCACCTTCTGAGAGGGCACCAGCTGGGCGTCGACTGCACACAAAACCATCTGTGACGATCCCGGGTGCGTGGCTTCATCCAATTCTGGCAATTAGCCACTTTCTGTGGATGTACCCAGGTGTCTTCAGGAAACAGATGTGCTTTTAAGTAAAGCTAAAGAGTAGCTGTAATGCGTGAGGCCAAGCTGCACAGTGCGTAGCTGGTGTCAGCGCAGACCTGCCTCTGCAGAGACCAGACAGCCGAGCAGGGCGTCGCGGGCGGAGACCAATGAGGATGCCGGACTCTAAGCCGGGGGGGAGGATGCAGGCTCACACTGTACAGGGCCAATCAGCTTCTGGACAGATTTCAGGTTTGCTCTCTGAGGGTAGCATTTTCCTCAATTTGGACTCACCTCTTCAGTATTTGGGTCTTGCCACACTTGAAATTAGTTGGAGCTCTGTTTTGCTTTGTTTTGCATTTCAGCTCATTTCAGTCCTGTCCTGCCTTGCCCTACCCTGCCCTACCCTGCCCTGCCTTTCTCTCCCTCACCTTGCCTGGCCTCACTTGGCCTCCCCTCCCCTCCCCTCCCATCCCCTCCTTTTTCTTTCCCTCCCTTCCTTCTTTCCAGTGGGGGTCTTGCTGCATGGCCCAGGCTCGTCTTCAACTCCTGGGCTTGAGCAGTCCTCCCATGTCGGCCATGCCCAGCAGCTGGCACTGCCTGTGCACAGCCGGCTTCTGGCCAGTTCATGATCTGAAGTGCGTATCTGGAGCACAGGGAGACAGCCCACTGCTACCGAGGCTGCTTTCCTGGCTCCAGCCCTCCTTCCTTGCCTTTGTCACATGGCAAGCTGGTTGCATGGGTGTGACAAATAACATTATCTGCACAGGGACCCGGGGAATGTGTGGAATGAAACAGCTTCGTTCATCACAGGATGCTTGCAAATTGTATTTGTAGAGCACCTCATTGAACTCTTTCATTGCATTGCAAGTGGAATTTTTCTGAAGTGTGGTGGAAAGCCAAGCCAAGCCAAAACTGTTAAGGCTGGTGCCTAGTTATCCCCCAAATCCCCATGCAGTTCTAGGTGGGGCTTTTCCCGAGGTGGCTGGTTCTAGGCTGTGTGATGCTGGATTGATTCATGGTGCCATGCTAGGCTCAAGGGCACTAGGATCAAGCATGTGGGACAGAAAGACACCCTCCCAGCCCCTTGTTTCTTGTGCTGTCTTCTGCCTACTGTGAACTGGTTTTCCTCTGCCACCCCGCCTTGGAGCCAGCTGAGTATGGACTGAAACCTCCACAAACCGTGAACTAAATAAACCTTTCCTCCTTTAATTTTGGGTGTGGGATATTTTGTCGCAGCAACTCAAGAAACATAGCTAAGACAAAAATGAAAAGAGGTTTCCTTTCCTTTCTTGCAGAGATTAGTTGGAATTTAATAAGCTGTCTTGTTACAGCTGTCACATAAACGAGGCAGGCAGTTAGGCGCTCTTC